TTTTTGAGCCTTGACTTCTTTCTTTCTAACAGGAGTCAGATGCAGGGTTTTATTAACAGCAGCAGCAGCCATGGTAGTAATGAAGGTGATTTTATAAATATTTAACCTATGGACAGCCAAGCTGGGGGCCAATCAGATTGCTGGGAGTAGAGTCCTGGTGTTTTGCTGTGCTAGATATTAACCCTGTAGCTGCTGGATTGGAAGAGGCCTGACAGAGATGGGCATGGGCTGCCCGGGCGGCAGGTGGACATTCAGGGATCTAGGGCTGGTAGTTTTCACCTTCTGGTCTTTGAAGAGCTGGCACAGACACAATAGAAGGCAGCAACAGAGTTGCTGTACTCTTCTATACTCATTCCTTTCTCCACTTTCGTGATGTTCACCTACTCTGACCTTGACTTCTAGGTGGTTCCAGTGTTGGGTGAGTGACGTATATCCCAATGAAAGCCACACTCTGACCACAGCTGGAATCATATTTTCTCTAAGTTGTTTTCAAACTGAAGATTCCAGTGGAAACTTTGAATGCCCACCATCTTCCTTCTCCACTACTGAGCCACGGATGGACTCAACACCATCCCATGGCCTGCCCAGGCATAGTGGTGAATGCTGCTTTCTAGATTTCCTTTGTGACTGTCCCACACCATCTCACACCTGCACCATCTCCCTCCTTTGCCTTTCCATTGATTGCTTTACCTCACACTTCATAAAAACCCCAGTAGACAGAACTGAAAAATGGCAGCTGGGCACCGGTGGCTAACACCTGTAATCCTAGCTACTACTTGAAGGTTAAGATCAGGAAGAGCATGGTTTCAGGCCAGCTTTGACCAAAAAAAAAAAAAATTGGAAGACCCCATTTCAATGGAAAAAAAGCTGAATGTGGAGGCATATATCTGTCATCCCAATTACAACAGGAAGCCAAGTTAGGAGAATCAAGGTCGAGGCCAGTCTGGGCAAAAAGTAAGACCCTATTTTGAAAATAACCAGAGTAAAAAGGCCTGGGCCATGACTCAAGCAGTAGAGAGCTTGCCTAGCAAGTCAAAGCCCTGAGTTCAAACCCCAGTATCACCAAAAAACCATAATAAAACATGGGTTGAGAGTGTGGCTCAAGTAGCAGGGCATCTTGCGAGGCCCTGAATTCAAGCCTTGGTACTGTCAAAAAAAACAGACATAGCACTGGACAGAACGTAGACACTAGCCCTTGCATGGAAATTCCTCATTTGCCAACTTCCAAAGTTGTATCCTACCATGCGTTTACCCACGTTCCATCCTTTGTGCCCACACTGCCACTTCCCTGTGCCTCCTCACAGGAGATACGACTTGTCCACACACAGACTCTTTCAAATGCACTGTCTTTCCTCAACCACTCAAATTGCCTTGTTGTAGTTACCGGTGGCCTTCATGTGGCTACATGCTGTGGACACTTGTCATTCATCTGTCTTGATTTTCAGCCAGTGTTTGACCCAGCTGACCTCTCTCAGCTTCTTAAAGTTCTCGTCTTCATTCCTACCCCTCACTCTCCTTGCTTTCCCAACTGGGATCTCCTTGCCTGTTTCCATCCACACCTTCTCTTCCTAGGATGGACTTCCTCAGCGATTTTCTCTCTCTTCACTCTCTCTGGCTAATCTTACCTAGTCCATGGCATTAATTACATTTAATTCATGTTCAGCCTTGACCACTTCTCGAGTCCCATTCCAGTGTCCAACTGCCCAGATAGTAATTCCACTTTGATGTTCCACAAACATCTCAAGCTCAACACATCTAAAAAGAGCCCTTCAGCCTCCCAGTCCCAGTGCTGGTACTTTTCTAGTCTTCAATAGCTCAGTGAATGATAGTTTGCTGCTCAATGGACACCAGGGATTTGCCAGGCATCTCCCAAGGCCTTTCATATACGGTATCCCTCATCTATGATCATGGAGCCATCTTCAACTGGCTGACAAGAAGACAGATTCACAGGTTTGGTAGCTTGCCCTGGGTCACAGTATCAAAGCCAGGATTGGGACCCAGGTTTCTGAGTCCAGTGGCCTTGCTCTTTCCATTCTGCTGTCTTTTCCAACCCTGGCTCTTCCTTAATCATTTGGAGTCCATCTTTACCCTTAGGCACCCAAAGGACCACCACCAGGTTGCATAACTCCAGGGGGAACATTTACAATGTCATCTGTGAATGGTGGCCCTGAAGTTATAGTGACAGTCACATCCACTAGAGCAAGAATAAGCCCATGGAGGTGGGCAGAGTGGTAGCCATGGACACTGCCATTTGTTTTCTTTTATCCCCTCCTATCCTACCTGGCTTCATTCTCTTACCTACTGTCCTCCCCTCTCGTCCACTGCACCCCACCTGTTCTGCTTGCTGCACACCTCTCTGGCCAGGCTTTCTGTCAGACTGTGGATGTAGGTGAATTGGTTATGGCCTCGAGTGTGAGGAGGGTAGCAATGGCTCAGCCAGGGTTCTCCAGAAAACAGAACCAATAGGATCTGTGCACACACACACACACACGTATGCACACACACATTCATATACATACAATCGCACATATACACACATGTACACATATACCATACACTTACACAAATACACATTCACACACACTTATACACATATGCACACTCACGTACATACAAACACATACATGCACACACACTCACACATGTACACCCACCCATCCACATACATACATACACACACAGATGGACTAGCTATCAATCTAGCTATCTATTCATCCATCTAGATTTATTTTAAGAAATTGGATCATGTAATGGTGAAGGTGGCAAGCCCCAAATCCATGAGATGAGCCAGCAGCTAGAAATCCCAACACTGACAATGCTGTAGTCTTGTTCCAAAGAATGGAAATTTGGGGGGAGTTTTTATTTTCTCATCTTAAGCCCTAATTCCTTCCTCTTCAGGGACCTCAGCCTTTTCTCTTAGGATCTTTGACTGGGTGAGGGCCCTTACATCATGGAGGACTCCTTAAATAGAGTAAGGTACTTGGAAATACGAATACGAATCATGTCTAGACAACACCTCCATAAAAACTGTTCTCTGGGTATCTGACCAAACAACAGCACCATAGCCTAGCCAAGCTGACATATAAAGTAGTCCATCATGGATGGGGACTGTCACAAGTGAGGACACAGACACAAGAACCATCAGCCCAGGCATCCAGATTCCTCCCTAGCTGATCCATGTACTCTTTGGGGGGTGGTTACACAAGAGGAAGTGAGTCAGGGTTCCAGAAGAAAGCAACGGAGGTATGGAGGAGGTGAATGCTAGGAGAGACACAGGAAGGAAGAAGGGCCCTATGAGCCAAGTGGCAGCCTAGGCAGTGGCAGAGAGGCCTGAAGATGCTTCAGGAAGACAAGGCCAAGGTCTGAGCATCCCTTGATGTGGGCTGAGATGACACAACAGGACTGATCCTTCAGTGCAGGGCCTTCCAGTGTCACAATGGAGTCTGTCTAAGGCAGCTCCCCAACAACAACAGACAGCTGGACTGACTTCTGGACTGGAATCAGCCCAGATCCCACCATCCTACAAAAACCGTATATTCTCCTGGTGTGGTATTTTCTGTCTTAGAAAGCAGAACATTCAAACTTTATTTTAATTCTACTTGGTATGCGATACCTTATAAATTTAATTCGTTTTCAAAAACATTAAAATTTAAATCAATTTAACACGTTTGTTTGTGTGGTTCAACACTATTTTATTTTCAGTGTAGAAAATTGGGAAACTATGGGAAAACAAAAGGATAAAAAAAATTGGTGACAATACCACAACTCATGTTTTGCTGTTTCCTGTAGGTCTATTTTCTATGTACATGAACCTGTGTCTGTCCCCCACACATCTCTGCAGCCCTGTCTCCACTGTCCTTCTGCCCTGTGCTGGGCCAGCCACTCCCTTCCATAGACCTGTGAGCAGTCTGCCATCTGTGTGTTCTTTCAATGTCATCTCCTCCCCTAAAATGTCTGCTCTGCCCATAATCCAAGATTCTAAGAGCTTACTGTTTGTTGAATACTTAATGTATAAGCACTATATTTAAATTTTAATTAAAATTATTATATGCACATAGTTTAAGTACATATAATGTTTAATAGTGTGAATCTATTAATGAATCCATTTTGATGTGATAATTATACTCATTTTTGAATGAATATGCATTACATTGTCAAGTAAGAGTTTATTCTGTGTGTTTCTACTTGCATCAAATGTTCTCAAATGACATAGTTTTAAGGACTACATGGAATTCTATCCTCTGGATGTACCCTAATGTAGCCAAACTTTCCTGCTAGACATTTTTCCTTTTGAAAATGAGGCATTTTTCCAACACACAAAATGCTTCAATGAACAGCTTAGACTTAAATCTTTGTGTACATCCATCCCCATTCTAAAAGTCACTCCTTAAAGAGGGGGCATTGATGCTAACAATGATTTTCACGCATTAGGATAAATTTTTACAAATGCAGTAATTGGAACAAAGGAAATCAATACTTTTATGGCTGTAGAAACATATTTCCAAATTCCAGAAAAGCTGCACAATTTCCCATGTCTGTCACGCCCGTGACTTGGGTTATAATTTTGGTGATTGTTTCCAACTTGACAAGTGAGACTGGCACTTTGTCTTAGTTTCCACTGATTTCGCTCTCACCTCTTGGAGAGACAGTCCAGCATTTCCAAAACATGGCCGGCGGAAAGCACAATCTGAGGAGAGCACTGTGCAGAGCAGCCTGTACTCAGCAAGTCATGAGGCAAGCAAGGGAAATGCAGCCACACACCAACCCCACGCCTCACAAATGGAGAAACAGGCCAGAGAAGAGCAGGGAGATGGCTGGGTGCTCAGTGCTGCTATGGCTCATCTTAGTGTCCTTATCTGATGTCCCCTAAAGCAGTGCTTTCAAAGGTCACTTGGGGTCGCTCCTGTGACTTACTCCTCTCTCCAGCAACTGTCTGATGGTGTCTTCCCTTTTCCTCTTTCTCAGGAACAGCAAGAAATCCAAAGTCTGAACAACAAACCATGAAGCTCAGTGAAAAAGACCCAGCAGAAAACAAAGAAAGTGAGCTGGCAAGAAGGAAAGTGGTCAGTCCTGGTTTCGTGGTCTCTCCCTGGTGTGAGCCTTCAGGTGACCCAGTTCCTCCCTGGCCCCTCGCCCCCCTTTCTCCAAGGGAATCAGGCTTAGGGTGATGCTGGCAGAGAAGAGCGAGCAATAGCTCACAGCAAAGCTACATGGGAAGGACTGTGTGACCACACCATGTCTGGGATAAGGCAGTGCTTGAGAAATGATGGTATCCACAGTACTGACCTTCTGGTGGCTTCCTGGACTTGAGCAAGGGTCTCCATTCCAAGGTCATTTCTCAGTGAGGGGCCATTTTCCTTAAGACTACATTGAAACTCATCCCCTGCTCCACCTGCCCCTTCCTCCTCTTCCTGCCTGGGAGTCCTTATACCCTCTCGGAACCAGATTCAAGAGGCAACAGCTGGAGAGTGGCCCTCTGTGCTGGACCTTTACACCTGGTTCTCTCAGTCATGGTGAAGGCAGCACAGTCCCACTTGGCAGGCAAACATGAGACTTATAGGACACTGAAGTCACCTGTTCAAGGCTGTGTAGCTAATACCAGGTGGAGCCAATCTCAAGTCTTGGGCCATCCGTGTGTCATTTCCTGTGACGGGCATGGAGGCAACCAGGGTTCAGAAGAAAATATGTCCATGTTTGTAATAAGTCTTTTTGTGGCAGGACAAAGATCATCACAAGTTTAGTGACCATATTGCTAGGGAAGTGGAAATTGACGAGATAAATGTCACTGTACCTGTACAGGTGAGGTTCAGGGAGGCAAAGCCACTTCCCTCAGGTCACCCACAGACATGGAAAAGTCACTAAATAGACAGCAGTTCCTCTAGGTGGACACTATGTCTTTTCTTCTATTGGATGAGTCAAGGATCTACTGTCCAGGTATTTGGTGTGATGAAGGAAGGAATCCTGCTCAAATGATAATCAATAGAAAACTCTCCTTTCATTTCAATGCTTCCCTATTAGAGAATGTTCACCTTCTCCAAGGCTCAGGAAATCATCCAGAAGACATTTGAGTTCAGTTCCAGAACTATCTACTTTCCAAAAGGCACTATATGAGCCAGCTCAGGCTGTCGTGACAAAGTCCCACAGACTCAGTGGCTTAAACAATGGAAATGTATTGCTTCACAACTCTGGAGGTCAGAAGTCTGAGATCAAGGGGTGACATGGTGGTTTCCTTCTGAGTTTCTCTCTTTGCCTTGCAGATGGCATCTTCTCCCTGTGTCCTGACATGGTCATCCCTCGTGTGTGTCTATATCCTAATTTCTTCTTATAAGGACATCAGCATATTGGATTAGGACCCATGATCTCATGTTGCCTAAATTATTTCTTTAGAGATCTTGCTCCAAATACAATTACATTCTGAGGTCCTAGGGGATAAAACGTCAGCATTTGAATCTGGGAGGACACAATTCAGCCCACAAGACATACATAGTCCTTTGTCTCAGGGCACTCCTATCCAGAGGGATAGGAACAAGATGAGTGGCAAGATGGGGAAGACAGAACCAGAGTGGTAAGAGGTCAAGGGAGGCTTCTCAGAGGAGGTGGCAAGAAACCTGAGCATTGAACGATAAACAAAGTTAAGATTGTCACCAGTGCAAGATGTCATGAGGAAAATCCACAGATGTGCTAAAGGGTTCTTGCTCTCAAAACACTCTTAAGAATAAGAGGCTGGAACACCGGAGTTACAGGCAAGAAAGAATTTTATTGATAGAGAAAGGCTAAGCAGAGGTACGCACAGCAGGGTCTGGAAATAGGGTGTCCCCTGAGTGTTGGAGTGGGGATATATATATATATGTAAGACTTCACCCTAACCTAAAGAACAGTTCATAGTCAGATCCTATAGGTCCATTCTTGGTGCTTGCAGGCAGCCTATACCTCCTGGTTCTCTGGCTGAGCTGGTTCCTCTGCTTCTCTCAGGTTGCAGGGAGCTTCCATATTCCTAAGATGCCATGGGGCTGATTTATGTTATGGGGCTGCTACAAGATCAGTCAGGAGCAAGGGCCTGGGCAGACCCCAGATGCTAGGAGCTATGGAAATGTTGGCAAGTTGATGTGTGAATTGCTCTGAATTTAGAGGCAAACTGCTCCAGTCTTCCGAACCTCAGCATTCTCCTAATGTGAGCCACAAAGGCCAATGGGTGACTGCATGACCTCAGGAAAGCAGTGAGGTGTACAAGATGAGATCGGGATCAGGGAAGGGTGTTTTGGTGTGGGAGCCCCTCCTAACCACCATCTGGTTCACTGAGAGTATACCATCCTCCCTCCGACTTTATGCCCAGTGCTTCTATTGAACCCCAGGTTCCTGGTGCCTTCTGGGTTTTCAATCCCAGTGGTATCCATGGAGTGATTTTAAATGGGGGAAGGGCTTACTGATCCAACTTGAGCGTTAGCAGGATGTGGTAAAGGCTACTGTTACTGAAGAGGAAAGGGGAGGCCACACAGAAGGAAGTATGGTGGTGGAGTGAGGAAGAAGAAACGAGATAATGAATATAAAGTCACATCAAGACGGGTCCTTAGTGTACAAGTGTGTGGCTGTCCCCACCCTTCCTCTGCCCCTCCTGTATCTTCTGCCCTAAACATACTCGACCATTTGGCTTCCCACATACACCAATCATTTGGGCCTCCACCCTGCACCCTTCCCTGCTCCCACACCTTGTGCTCAGAGTTGCACTTTCCAAAAAGACTCCAGGATCTGACTGAGATGGGTGTGGTACCCCACTACCCCAGGGAGTCCTCTGCCCTTGCAGTCATGTTGTAACTGAGTGTTTCCCATTGGGCTCCTGTTCTGGACCTGTAGCTCATTGAGGCTGATAAACAATGCAAGAAATAGCAGCTCCCCAGAGGTGTCCCTGACTGATGTATTTGCAGAACGCTTGTCACACTCCTGTGCTCCTTGCATCCTTAACCTAACTACTGAGGTGGGGCTTCCTTGCTGGTTCCCATTTGCCCTGAGTAGCCCTGTCTAACTGCTAAGCAGCGTGGGACTGGATGTTTTCATGTGCAGGTGACATTTGGGCTCCCAGTACAGCTCTTGTATTTTTTATTTTGGTAGTAAAAATAATAGTAAAGTTTATTAGGAAAGAACTTTGGTATAATAGGATAAAAGTGGGGAGAAATGGAAAAATGAGAGAACCATTTCCTGCCCCCATGCAGGAAATGGGAGTAGAGACTCAAAATGGTGGCCCCCATCTGTAGTCTACTGGAGAGATGGGGGAACACACTGGTCAAAGATAATGGATCTGCGTGGCTGAGATGGCTGCTAAAACAGGGAGGGGTCATCCTTGCCCACCCAAACCACAGAGACAATAGGTGTGTCTTCCCTCTGCTAGATAGAATTATTCTCCACCCATCCAAGGAGCATAGGAGCTTGTTAACATCTCAAAGAGAAAAGCAGGAGGAAAATCCTATGGTTCTTCTTCTCCCATCTTTACTTCAATGTGTGCTTTTTACTATACCCAGTTTGCTGGCGTCTCTTATTTGTGGACCCCAGTTCTGCCCTGCTCTTGCATCCTAGATGCTCTGCATTTGCCAAGCCTGCCTCTGTCCCTGCTCTAGCCTCTGTACCCCCTGTCTGCTTCTGGCCATGCCTGAAGGCACTTCTCTGACATTTGGGACAAACAGGCCACACACTGAATTAATTCTTTGATAGCCCAGAGTGCATGAGGTCCTCATCTCTTTAGTACTCTTGAGGAAGGAGGTGTTCCCTCCTCCAGAGCAGGATGAGCAGGACCAGTCATGCCCAAGAGGCAAATTCTTTTTCTTCCAAACCCAGGCCCTCCCATTCACTGTAGAGCTGCTTGGCAATCCAGATACATCTCCAGCCTGCTGTTCTGGGCTACGTGTTTTCTGTGTGAGCTCCTGAATAACTCTGCAGACGTTTGAAACAAAATCAATATTCCATTTTGTACTGTGCCTGAGGTCACACAGTTAACAAGTGAGAGTCAGCTGAGTCCACCAGGCTTCCAAAGCCAAGCCAGCGACCGACCACTCCCTTTGACCCCAGCTGTTAGAAGGGCACCCTGGGTTTATGCCAGGTGCTGCCTTCAGAATGCCAGCCTTATACAGAGAGACATTAAAAGATGCCAAAGAGGGGGTGGGGGGTAAGGAGAAGATATGGCCCAAACAATGTATGTACATATGAATAAATGAATAAACAATTTAAAAAAAGGATCCCAAAGAAAAAAATCTGCACGCTGTTAACTCCACAGAGGACAGAGTTCCCTTTAAGACTCTTCAGTTGCTGAAATGACTTTGGGGCAAGGAAAAAATATTGCCCGTTTCCTGTTCATTCAGGCATGATCAGATTACCACATTTCCTGTCGGGCACTCCCCACTCCTTCCCGTGGACTCTGCCTCCTTCCGCACTCTCGGAGATGCCCTGGTACAGTCCAGGGTCTCTGGGCTGAGCCATCAGCTGGACCATTAGGCCCCATCGACAGGAAACCAAACATGGATTACAGGGAGTTCAGCGTTCCTTCCTTGACACATGACACCAGCTACCCTAGGAGGAGTGAGGTGCCAGGTGGAAGGAGAAGGAAGGTAAATAGATGGCTTTTGTGCGCTGGCAGGCTGTGGGGAGTCACTGTGGGTGGCCACTGTAGGACAGGGTTCAGCCCCAGTGTGACAGCTGTGTGGCTGAAGGGCCTCAGGATCTGCATGAGGAAGGTCTGAATTTGAATCATGCACTCATGCCTGTGTGCTCTTGGTGCTCCGGCCCCCAAGCTTCCATTTCCTGGGTAGACAGCACCCCGGCCACCTGACTGGGCACAAAGAATGAGGCTCCAGTAAAGAACTCTCCTCTCCCGCCCATGCTTGCTTGGGGATGTCTCCCTCCTTTCTTTCCCATGGCACCACACAGGCAGTGACACCATCAGTCATGGTACCCTCTGTCCAGGGGCCAGTGGGAGGCGATAGCAGGCACAGGCAGACCACACAGGGATGAGAAGAGATGGCTTCCATTTTACCCTTCTCCACCCTTGGGCAGGGCCTCTCACACCCGGCCTATCTGAAGAGTCCAAGTCCTTTAAGAAGACTGGGGCTGGAAGCAGGGGCAGGACTCAGAAGAGATGACCAGCTGATTCCCAGAAGCTCAGAGGAAGTTGCATCTGAGCTGAGATCACAGGAGGACTTTAAACAGAAAAGGCAACACAGACTGAGTGGGTCCCATTCAACTCAAGTTCCTCACACTGTAGAAAAATACTTTGGGCCCCATTTCACTTGGTAACACCCATCCCTGGGGCTGTAATCCCTCTGTCAGCCCTCTGGTCACCAGCGTCTACCAGTCCCTCCTCTGTAACAGGCTCCATGCCCAGAAGTAAGGACCAAGACCCACGGCCCTTGCCCTCAAAGAGCGAGCCTGTCTCTGTCCACTGTCCAGCCTGGCTGCTGACACCACCAGGGCACCACCACCTGCCAGCCCCTCCTCAGAGGATCTGACCTGCTTTAACTGTTTTTGTGCATAACCCCCTAGGGGAGATGTCCCATTATCTCTCCCATCTTTTTTTTTTTTCTAAATGCATCTAAGATTGTTTACAGAATAACTGCTACACTTGGTTAAAAAAGAAACTCCTTTCACATGGCAAATCACACACCAACTGGTATTACAATACTCCTAAATCCTATCACCAACAGATTTAATGGAATAGCTCATTAAGGACAAGCAATTAATCTGAACAATTTACATTAACACTTAAAAACAGAAAAAATAGGTATTCATTAAATTGATAATTCTGTTAGAGTTGGAGAAAAATATATGGCAAATATTACTCATGGTACAAAATATAACAATATTTCTTTATAATTTCTATTAAAGCATTAACCGGGAAAAGTTTTGACAACTTCCATAAAATTTCATTGGAAAAAACATCTTATGGTAAATAATGTACTTTATGTTACATTACACCTACAAGGATATTTACTTTTTTATTTTTAACTGATCAAGCATTCTTCATCCTTCCATCCCCTATTCATTTCTCAAATCATGGATCACCCCCATCTTAAAGATGAGGAAACCGAGTCAGGGAGCTGCCATGTAACCAGCCAAATATTCCACAGTCCTTAGGGGCTGAGCTGGGGATCAGACACGGTTGAGTTAAAGAGATAAATGCAAAAATGAGGGAGGTGGAGCTTTCACCTGAGAAAAGAGGCTTTCTCAAAGGAGGCGTTGGCAATGGATCTCAGATATGACACAGCCTCCAAGACGGTGACTTCAGACAAATGTCATGGAGAGACCTTAGGCCGGGGCTACATCAGCGAGAGCAGTGAGAAAGAAAGTAAATTAGAAAACAGCAGCCCATGGGCTCAACAGCCTCATCAGTGAGGTGTCATTAAGATCACATTTTACAGATGAGCAGACTGAGCCCAGAAAGCTCAAGTCACTTGCTCTGGCAGCCAGGGTTGAATGGTGGAGCGGTCAGGTGCTGGAGCCCAGGGAAAGGAGGTGAGTGGGGCAGAGAATTGCCACCTGTGCTCAGCGTTGCCTTCCCAAAATTACGTTAGCAATTTGGGTCCCTGAACTTGGCCTCATCTGTCGTGTTCACTGCTGCGAACGCCCTGGGAGCTTTGTTAGAGCCTCACACCTACAAAACACAGACATGTTTTTTTTTGTTTTTTTTTTTCTTTTATTATTCATATGTGCATACAAGGCTTGGTTCATTTCTCCCCCCTGGCCCCACCCCCTCCCTTACCACCCACTCCGCCCCCTCCCTCCCCCCCCCAGTACCCAGCAGAAACTATTTTGCCCTTATCTCTAATTTTGTTGTAGAGAGAGTATAAGCAATAATAGGAAGGAACAAGGGTTTTTGCTGGTTGAGATAAGGATAGCTATACAGGACATTGACTCACATTGATTTCCTGTGCGTGTGTGTTAACTTCTAGGTTAATTCTTTTTGATCTCACCTTTTCTCTAGTTCCTGGTCCCCTTTTCCTATTGGCCTCAGTTGCTTTAAGGTATCTGCTTTAGTTTCTCTGCGTTAAGGGCAACAAATGCTAGCTAGTTTTTTAGGTGTCTTACCTATCCTCACCCCTTCCTTGTGTGCTCTCGCTTTTATCATGAAAACACAGACATGTTAAGTGATGCCTGCAAAAGTGCCTTGCATTGCACTTGGTCCCCCTGTACCCAACCTGCACTCATCTGGCCAGCCTAGGATGGCACCTCTCTTGGCCCCAGCTCGTGCCAGCTGATCAGCCCTCGCCAATGGCCCAGGTGTTTCTGCTGCATGGCCCTGTCCTGGCTGTGGCCATCTTGGGTGTGGCCGTGGGCAGGATGACATGGAGGCAGATGCCTTTCTTCTCAGCAGGAGCTCCTCCTCTCTCCTTCTGCCGGTCCTTATTTTAAGATGCTGGGCTGAGCATGCAGGTGGATGCCTTAGCCCGGCACAGCGTGTGTGAGTGTGAGTGTGTGTGTGTGTGTGTGCAGGCATGTGAGTGAGTGTGTGCGCATCTGTGGATTGTCAGGCATCTAGGCCCCAGAGTCACATCCTGGTGAAGAGTCCACAGGGGTGTCAGGGAGTGGTCTCCTGGGCTCCAGGCCCCTCCCCAGGTAGCACCAGGGACAGCTCTGTGCTGGCCTCACCTGAGAAGCAGGAAGAAACAGCATCTGGGAGAGAAAGCCCCAAAAGCACTTGGAACAATGCCTGGTGGAGGGCGCTCAGTGACAGCCAGCTGCTGCCACAACTTACTATGGCTTTGCTTTTGGCTGGGGTCTGGGTCACACACTGCCAAATTCATTTGACACGGTGCGATCTGGTTCTTCAGGGATCCTTATGCAGCCCTGTGAGGAAGACCATGGTTCAGTGCTCCCACTCGCTTTCCTCTCTCTTCCCAGGACTGGTCCTGCTTGCTCGTCGTGGCCTCTCTGGTGGGCGCCTTTGGCTCCTCCTTCCTCTATGGGTACAACCTCTCCGTAGTGAACGCCCCCACCCAGGTGAGTGTCCGCGCGGGGTCGCCCGGCAGAGGGCGCTACGGCCCGCGGAAACCTCCAGGTCGCCGGCCTGGCCGGCCACGTGCAGCCCTCTGCAGGCTGGCGGGTCCAGACCTGTGCTGGTCACTAAGCGGGGCGGGGGGGAGGTACGCAAAGAGTGAGACCAAAAACGTGCTGACAGTGTGTTTGGGACAGGGGTCAGCTCCCTGCGGCTAGGATGTGATATCCTGGGGTGATCCTGAGCGCCACAATGCCAGGGCAAGGAGTGGGAGGGGCTTATGCACGGACACCTGTACATTTTCTTGTCTTGTTCTTTTTGTTGACCTTTGATCACAACCTGGGGGCCGCTGCTGTCTAGGACTTCCTGGTTTCTATTTCAGTCCGGCCTCCTGCATGCCCTGCTGCTGGATCGCAGGTGGAGGTTTGCTCCTTATCTGGGCTTTCAGGTTCCCACGGTGCCCTGTTCCTGGGCAGGATGGAGGTGTGAGGGACATGCCCCAGCAGGTGATCCTGAGTCCAGTCTTGTGGGTGGAGGGACAACAGGGAGGCCTAAGACCTAGGGACCAATGGGGGAATGCAGGTGGCTTCAGGTGGTGTATTTCAAGGGCACACCGGGCAATCAGAAGCTGGCTGGACAGCTCTGGGAGCTTTTCAGGCTTTGCTTCGTTTGGGAGTCTGGCACCTCCTGTGCTAAATGTGGGGGATCCTGAGTGGTAGGTCTCAAAGTGTTCCCAGGAGCCCTAGGGTTTTCAGGGGTGCCTCAGGGATCTGGGCTTCGTTTGTGCAGGATCAGATCCAGGTTTTCAAAAGTTCAGTTTGCTGACATCTTTGGGTTCTCTATAAATTCATTTGAAAAATAAGTTCTTGTGTGAAAACTGTTTGAAAACCAGGGGCTTCTTGAGGTGCTTGTATCAATCAATATTTGACATTGTCATTGTGGTGTCATTCAGAGATGGGGTCTGACTTGTCCAGAGTTGTCTCTGAGTGGAAGGGGACTGCGGACTTGGAATCTTGCTTCATTTTTTTTAATTGTTTTGCTGGGTCGGGGTACACTGTGGCACTTACAAAAGTTCCCACAAAGTATTCAATACATCATACTTGAATTCACCCCCTCCACCCCTCTCCTTTATCCCCCTCCCCCCATTCCTGGAAGAGTTTCAACAGGTCTCATTTTTCCATTTACATACATGTGTACACAGTATTTGCACCATATTCACCCTCCTACCCCCTTTCCCTACCTCCTCCCCCACTCCCCAGAGAGGACATGTTCAGCCCTCCTGTCCTCTGATTTTGTAAAAGAAAAAAAATGGCATTTTTGTTTGTTTAAGATAGCTACACAGGGAGTTTCCTTGCTTCATTTTGAAAGTTTAGCAGATGGGTCAGCTGAGAGAGTGGTGAACCTTTGTAATCATGGCTTGTGAGTTGGAGAGACAAGTAAAACTTGAACTTGGGAGTTAACTGATGTGGGCTTAAGCAATGGCTATGGGAATTTGAGGCAGGAACAGCTCATTCATTCATTCAACAAATATTTATTGAGTGCTTATCACGGAGAAGGCAACCTGATGGCATTCGAGCTGAACCTTGAAGGGCAGGCAGGATTTCCAAAGGGGGTTGTGTGTGAGAGGGAGAGCGAAGTTGAAACACACAGAGAGCCTGGTTGTGTTGAGCTGATGGCATGTTGGGACATGGAGGTGTGAAGTGCCTGTTCCCAAGGGACATGGGATGGAAGAATGGTGGGAAAGCAGGGTAGAGTCAAACCAGGAGCTCAGATATTAAACTGAGCAGCAGAGTTTAGTGTGTGGGTACTGAGGAGCCACAGCAGGTTCTTGAGGTGTGAGGATGAACCATAAGGGTAGGGCTTCCACATAATTGTTTGGGGGGTGAGGCACACAATTCAGTCTGTTAATTCTTCATCGTGAGGAAATAGGGGCTCAGGACTGAAGCAACTTGCCCAAGATCACATAACTAAGAGAAGACAGTGCCTAAATTCAAACCCAGGTCTACCTGAACCTAACCCATGTCCTTTCCAGCCCCTGGCATTGACCACCAGTGCCTGGTCCCCAAAAGCCTAGTGGTCAGGAGTCTTGGCATGGCCAACTAAGGAAAGAATGAGCATGGGGACAGTGAGAAGCCAGGACTCCTGAGTGGGCTGTCTGTGCTGCTGCACCTAGAGTCTAATGGCTGTGCTGGGGCTCTCCTTGGAAGGAGCAATGCCTGGGAAGTGCAGGTCCCACAGAGAAATGAAAGGCTGCTTTGTTGCTAGCCAGGCCAAAGTCTGCCCTTCATGGAGACCTGGGTCACCCTTTCCTGCTCTGTCTAAGACCCAATAATGCATGCTTTCTAAACGGTCTCATAGTTTAGTTTCATGGAGATGGGCAGACACTTCGTTCTTTGGTGGCTTCACTGGGTACTTACTCGTGTTTGTCAGGACGTCAGGAGCTGGGATAGAAAGATGGACAGCACACACAGCCACATCCCTCAGGTGCCTCCTGGCAGCAGTGACAGATTCAAGAAGTTACCGACCTTGAGAGACAACTGCAAGGAGCTGTGAGCCAGGATTGTAGATTGGACAGACTCTACCTGGGAAGGTCAGAGGGCTTGCTGGGGCTCTTGGGAACCATGAAGATCTAGGGTCACTGTGTGGCATCAAGAGGATGGAGTGAGAGGGAGCTGGGTCAGCTGGAGAAAGGCTACAGTGCCAGACAGGGGCGGACAGCACTGCCAGGCTGCGAACAGGAGGCAGGCTGAGGTCAAGCTCACCGGGAAGCCTTCCGAGGCTGGAGCCAGCAGTCTGCAAGGGAATTCCACCTTCACCTTCATCTCCACCTCAACCTGGCTCTGCAGAGCGCTGGTGACAAACTCCTGGATAAGTGGCTGTGAGAAGGAAAGGAGATCACCTGTGTAGCAAGCATGAGGCCCTGAGTTCAAACCCGAGTACCTCCAGAAAGAGAGAGAGAGAGAGAGTGAGAGAGAAGGAAAGAAGATCCAATGTTGGAGGGGCTCAGCCCTGTGTCAAGCGGTCACTTTCAGTTCTCTCTTTACCTGCAGTAGGAATAACTCTGGGGGAGTGAGGCTGCTCCAGAAGCAGGAAGGTCCAGAGAAGAGACTCCAAGGGAAGTGCTGGAGCTGGAGGGAGTTGGGCGCCAGGCTCTCAGGAAGAAGAAGAACACCCTGGGAACCCAAGAGATGCAGACACGGGGTGGGGGGGGGGTGGCACTGCTTGCAGAGATGATGATAGAGGCTGCCACCAGGGGGCGCTGCAATGGACAAGCTACAGCGTGGTCCCTGCTGGCTCAGGCTGGACACTGGTGTCAGCACTGCACCAGTCCCTAATTTGCTCAAATGCTTCAGTTGTAGGACAGTTGGGGTCCAGCTGATGGGGTTCAGGGGGACTCCAGGTACAGCTGTCTACTGACAGGGAGGCAATGTGTCACTGAGCAATTATGCACTAACTGACCTTGGCCCTGGCACAAGGCCAGGCCAAGGTTGTGTCTGACCTCTAGGCACACCTTAAGAACACTCAGTGATTCTCCCACATTTGGAAACCTTCTGGAATGCTGTAACTCCCACCTCTGGGCACCATCTGTGCACTTGGCCCATATTAGGAATTGTACACACCTACTCAATTCTCTTTATCATCCTGAAAGTGAGTCACAGTTCACCCCCTTTGGTGGAGGAGGAAACTGAGGCCAAGAAAAATTACTATGTCCAGCTTCCAGGACTGGCACATTCCTGCACTTCTCCTCACTGCAGTCATCCCAAATGAATGTATTTCCTGTCCAGCCAACTTTGCAAGAATCCCAAAATTTGACTATGTGCCGGATCGGATCCCTCTTTGGCAAGAACACCCACAAGTTTCATGTAGCCACAAAAGGTCCTCGGCCAAATCAGCGATAGGATGTGAACTCATGGTCTGTGCTCTGTGGCTCTCTCAGGGGAGAGAAGTCATCCCGTGGGTGTATATTTCCCAGGTTTGTTCTCTTGTTTGTCCATTTATTGGTGATCATCAAGCTTTGCCTTTCTGATCAATTCCAATTGGCTCTAGCTACCTACCTACTATCTTTATTCTCTAGCATCTTCCTATCTGCCTGCCTGTCACCTATCTACAGTGTTCTGAAGTCCTTGTAAGGGGGTGCAGAATCCAAGGCTAATTTTCACACAAACCAAATTTTAATTGTCTGAGTTTTCAAGCAGTCAGGTGTGGAAGCTAATCTGAAACCTGGCAAATGGCCTCATACGTATGCCATTTAAGCTTTGCTCTTTAGTAGGAAAGTGTGACTCTTTCTGGTACTGGCTTCATTAAGACTGCCGGAATAGTCTGTGATTGCTGGAGATGTCCCCTGGTGCCTGTGGGCTCCAGAATTGCAGTGGGAGATGTCCTCTGGTGCCCATGGGTCCCCCATGACTGGACCCACCTGAGAGGGCAGCGAGGGTTGGAAGGTGACACTGAAGCTGCAGTGGGGTTTCTGAGCTCCAAGGCCATTCTCTTGAGAGGAGGCAAATTTCCATCCTTGGTCAGGCATTGCTGATGCAGGTGTCAGGGCAGGGCAAGTGAAAGCTCTTTTTGTGCATGAGCTTTGTGCAGAGAATCTACAGGAAGATGCTGGAAACCACGTGCTAAAGAAATTCTGAGCCAAGGTGGACAATATGGAACCCAGACTCCCGTCCAAAGAGCCCAAGAAAGACAAAGCTGGGGTGTGGAGCACAAGACTGGCCAATCCATGAGGAACCCCACTTGCTGAGAAGTGGGATGCCTGACCTAGGATGTGTGACACTGACCGCAATGTGGGAGGAACCCAAGAGAACAGCTGGCTTGGGCAGAATGGCCACTGGGCTGGACACCAGGAAGAACCACCAAGAAGGAGTGGAGTGGAGATGAACAGGAGGCATGAGGCATGACCGAAATTAGCAGGCAAACTTGGGGCGCTGTGGTCAGAGAGCAGAGGGGTGAGGGAGGGGCAGTTTAGAGCTCTGCAAGGAGAGAGCGTGAAGTGCCTCTTTGT